AAGAGGTCACTCAAAGTTCACGGGAAATGACCAGTTGTTACCCCAAGAGGTCACTAGAAGGAAAGACCAAGTTGTTACTCAAGAGGTCTATGTATGTATTTTCCAAGATGGCTCCTGCTTCCAGAGAGCCCTGTGACTCCTGCAAACAATGGATCTGGACCAGACTTCACACACATGACCAACAGAAAATACTAGAGGGGCTTTTTTGAGGGGGTGTGTGTGATGAGTATTATAGTCCACCCTCATTTATTTATGTATTTACTTACTTTATTTACATACCGCTTTTCTCAGCCCTCAGGCGACTCAAAGTGGTGAACAACATCATCCATCCAGAGAGCTCTGTAACTCCCACTGTTTATGGATCTAGAAGGAACGTGACATGCCTATCATGCCTATCATACATGCCTATCATGGAGCCCCTAGTGATGCAGTGCATTAAACCGCTGAGCTGCTGAAGTTGCTCACTGAAAGGTCATAGGTTCGAATCCAGGGAGAGAGGTGAGCTCCTGCAGTTAGCCCCAGCTCCTGCCAACCTAGCAGTTCGAAAACATGCAAATGTAGTAGATCAATAGGTACTGCTCCAGCGGGAAGGTAAAGGTGCTTCATGTTGTCATGCTGGCCACATGACCTTGGAGGTGTCTACGGACAACTCCGACTCTTCGGCTTAGGAATTGAGATGAGCACCAACCCCCAGAATCGGACATGACTGGACTTAATGTCAGGGGAAAATCTTTACCTTGACTATGCCTATCATGGCCAACTTTATAGTTGTCATCCTGAGGGGATGGCACATCAAATTATCCTTGTGGCCCTATCTTAGCACTTTCACTGCGCTGCCTTCTCCCCCCAGTTTCTTATTTTTCCTAGCCTTAAGTTGGTTCTTCAACAGCTTGAGAAACTATAATATTTTCTCTTGTATGCATGCTTTCCCTCCTATTCCCATAATACACGTTCTTTTTCCGGTGTGCAGGTTTGCATCATTTAGACATTTTAGTGCAACCAGAAAGTAAACCATTTGGGTACAACATTAAAGATTGTGATGTGGCAGAGCTGGGGGAATTGCCTGATCTGAATTCCGATCACAGAGATGTTCGCTCATCCTGTGGGTGATGCTCAGCCCATGTAATCTACCAATTACTCCCCTGTTAGCAACTCCCAAGGTTAACTTATCTGACATTTTAACTAGAAAACATCTCATTAGCTGCTCGTTTGCACAAGAGCTAATTTGTGCTGGAGGTGGAGCACAGGCAAGCGGGAGGCAGCCATAGGGACGGTGCATCGGTTTGGCAAATGCAGCCATTGTCACAGTTGTTGGCTACTGCAAACTACTGGGAAGCTTGTTGAATGGAGGCTGTAAGATTGACATACATGGGCAAAAAGTTGCAGGATGCTCCGCAGTTTGCTTTCAATTTTCAAAAACATTGCTCATGGATACACACGTCATGAGACAGCTTGGAAATGGGATCCAAATTTCAACATGAAATTTGTTCATGTGTCATGCACACCTTAGATAATTGTATACAATGAATTGTTGAAGGCTTTCATGGTTGCAATCACTAGGTTGCTGTAAGTTTTTCAGACTGAATGGCCATGTTCCAGAAGCATTCTCTCCTGATGTTTCGTCTGCATCTATGGCAGGCATCCTCAGAGGTTGTGAGGTCTGTTGGAAACTAGGCAAGTGGGGTTTATATATCTGTGGAATGATGTCCAGAGTGGGAGAAAAAATTATCGTCTGTTGAAAGTGTGAATGTTGCCATTGGCCACCTTGATTAGCATTAAATGGCTTTTCAGCTTCAAAATCTGACTGCTTCCTGCCTGGGGGAATGCTTTGTTGGGAAGTGGGAGAAAGAACTCTTGTCTGTTGGAAGTAAGTGTGAATGTTGCCGTTGGCCACCTTGATTAATATTAAATGGGCTTACAGCTTCAAAGCCTGGCTGCTTCCCATCTGGGGGAGGTGTTGGGAGGTGTTGAGAGGTGTTAGCTGGCCCTGATTGTTTCCTGTCTGTTCACCCACATCTATGGCAGGCACCCTCAGAGGTTGTGAGCTCTGTTGGAAACTAGGAAAATGGGGTTTAATGGCCTAGCAGTTTCAAGGTCTGGCTTCTTACTGCCAGGGGGAATCCTTTGTTGAGATGTGATTAGCTGGCCCTGACTGTTTCCTGTCTGGAATTCGTACCTTGAGATGCCAGACTTGGCCATGGTAGTCAAGCATTAACATTATTTTTGTTGCTACTTCATAATGGCTATTTTGCTACTATTATGAATTGTCATTTAAATATCTGATGTGCAGGATGTATTTCCATTCACTGGACCAAATTTGGCACAAATACCCAATACGCCCAAATTTGAATACTAGTGGGATTGGGTGGTGATTGATTTTGTCATTTGGGTGTTGTAGCTGCTGGGATTTATAGTTCACCTACAATCAAAGAGCATTCTGAGCTCTACCAACGATGGGATTGAACCATACTTGGCACACAGAACTCCCTTGACCAATAGAAAACACTGGAAGGGTTTGGTGGGCATTGATCTTGAGTTTTGGAGTTGTAGTTCACGTACATCCAGAGAGCACTGTGGACTCAAACAATGATGGATCAAGGACGAAACTTGGCATGGATACTCAATATGTCCAAATGTGAACACTGGTGGAGTTTGGGGAAAATAGACCTTTACATTTGGGAGTTGTAGTTGCTGGGATTTATTGTTCACCTACATTCAAATAATACTGTTTTTGTGAGTTTTCTGGGCTGTATGGACAAGTTTGAGTAGCATTCTCTTCTGATGTTTCACCTGCATCTATGACGGACATCCTCAGAGGTTGTGAGGTCTGTTGGAAATTAGGAAAATGGGGTTTATATATATCTGTGGAAGGTCCAGGGCGGGAGAAAGAACTCTTGTCTGTTCGAGGTAGGTGTGAATGTTTCAATTGGCTACCTTAATTAGCATTTAATGGCCTAGCAGTTTAAAGGTCTGGCTGATTGCTGCCTGGGGGAATCCTATGTTGGGAGGTGATTAGCTGACCCTGATTGTTTATTGACTGGAATTCCCCTGTTTTTGAGTGTTGCTCTCTATTTACAGTTATGATTTTAGAGTTTATGAACAGATTTTGTTCATTTTCATGGTGTCCTCCTGTCTATTGAAACTGTCCACATGCTTGTGGATTTCAACGGCTTCTCTGTGTAGTCTGACATGGTGGTTGTGAGAGTGGCCCAGCATTTCTGTGTTCTCAGTCATGTTTTTTGTTCTCAGACTACTTCAACCAGAGAAGTCAGCCATAGCAGAGCACTTCCTGAACCAACCTGGACACAGCATATTATTTGAGGGCACAGAAATGAGCTTGTCTCTTTTGGGGCCCATCCAACATCTCACGTCACAATGTCTCTCCCCTCGCTTCAAAGTCTTGTAAAACCCATTCATAGAATCATGGAATCCTAGAGTTGGAAGAGACCTCATGGGCCATCCAGTCCAACCCCCTGCCAAGAAGCAGGAAAATTGCATTCAAATCACCCCTGACAGATGGCCATCCAGCCTCTGTTTAAAAGCTTCCAAAGAAGGAGCCTCCACCACACTCCGGGGCAGAGAGTTCCACTGCTGAACGGCTCTCACAGTCAGGAAGTTCTTCCTAATGTTCAGATGGAATCTCCTTTCTTGTAGTTTGAAGCCATTGCTCAATAATAATAATAATAATAATAATAATAATAATAATAATAATTTATTTATACCCCACCACCATCTCCCCAAGGGGACTCGAGGTGGCTTACATGAGGCCAAGCCCAACAACACATCAGTAAAAACATTGGGTTGTTGTAGGTTTTTCTGGGCTATATGGCCATGTTCTAGGGGCATTTTCTCCTGACGTTTTGCCTGCATCTATGGCAAGCATCCTCAGAGGTAGTGAGGGTTCGACAATACAGTAAAAACATTGTGTCCTAGTCTCCACGGCAGCAGAAAACACGTTCTTTCCCTCCTCCCTATGACTTTCTCTCACTTATTTATACATGGCTATGATGTCTCCTCTCAGCCTTCTCTTCTTCAGGCTAAACATGCCTAGATCTTTAAGCCGCTCCTCATAGGGCTTGTTCTCCAGACCCTTGATCATTTTAAAAAAAAAAAAAAAAAAAAAAAAAAAAAAAAAAAAAAAAAAAAAAAAAAAAAAAAAAAAAAAGAAAAAAAAAAAAAAAAAGAAAAAAATTGATTATTTTAGTTTCCCTCCTCTGGACACATTCCAGCTTGTCAATATCTACCTTCAATTGTGGTGCCCAGAATTGGACACAATATAAACCAATAGGAAGGATTGTTGAGCAGCCTGATTTGCGCACCCTTTGGGATACATGGTTCAAGTAGAAGGTGTTGTTGTGAGAAGGCATCCCAAGGCGACACCATAAACACAACGCATTAAGCATTGAGCACAGTTGGTGTTTTTATTCATTTCAGTGCCCTTGAAATGAGTAAAAACACAGAGTGCGGAAGAGTGTTTAGAAGAAGCATGCTCAGTAAGCTCTCCTTTCTATGTTCAGTGGTGAGCATGTCCTTTAAAATCCCCTGGCAGTACGATCTGGCCCAGCCGTGGCCGGCATGTGTTCTGCCGTTGCTTCGTGTCCTTTTTTTGCCGAGAGAGAACGATATGAGCAAACACTGCAGAGTCAATAGATAAGACCAGATGGAAAAAGTGAGGACGTGGAAGCGGGGGGACCAATCTTTTTTGTGCAGCCCGGTTACTATAGAAACTCGGCTCTATATAGCTAACGGTCGGCTACTCCAGTGTGACCCAAAATGGATTTTACCTGCACCTTAAATGGCCGGTACGATCTCGATCAAATGTCCCTTCTTGGAATGCCAGAAGGAGTTCAAGAGTTAGGCTTTATATATTTTTTTTGTTTCTCCTCTGATTCTTTATCCTTAGCTCTAAATTCTTAAATGTTCTGCTTCTTTGGAGAGTTCGATGCCTGAGATGGTGGCAAAAGTTGCATAGGCTAAGATGGATCCTCCTTGTCTTGCAGGAAACAAGACTTGTTGACCAACACAGATGCGACTGCTCCGGAAAGACCGTTGTCACCACCATTCACGGCTCCACCAAGCATGAAGGTAAGCCATTTATGGGACACATGACCACGGGAGCATGTTGACTCAAATGAGGAGTTATTTTATTACCATTTCTTAGATGATCCTTTCCCTAAAGCAGTGCTTCTCAACCTTCCTAATGCTGTGACCCCTTAATACAGTTCCTCATGTTGTGGTGACCCCCAACCACAACATTATTTTCGTTGCTACTTCATAACTCTAATTTTGCTACTGTTATGAATCGTAATGCAAATATCTGATATGCAGGATGTATTTTTACCCAAATATACCCCATACACCCAAATTTGAATACTGGTGGGGTTGGGGGCAGGGATTTGGGAGTTGTAGTTGCTGGGATTTATAGTTCTCCTACAATAAAAGAGCATTGTGAGCTCCACCAATGATGGAATTGAATTAAACTTGGCACACAGAACAAATACAGAAAGGTTTGGTGGACATTGATCATGAATTTTGGAGTTGTAGTTCACCTACATCCAAAGAGCACTATAGACTCAAACAGTGGTGGATCTGGACCCAACTCAGCACAAATACTCAATATGCCCAATATGTTGGAGTAGGTTTGGTGGACATTGACCATGAATTTTGGAGTTGTAGTTCACCTACATCCAAAGAGCACTGTAGACTCAAACAATGGTGGATCTGGACCCAACTCGGCACAAATACTCAATATGCCCAATATGTTGGAGCTTGGGGAAAATAGACCTTGATATTTGGGAGTTGTAGTTGCTGGGATTTATAGTTCACCTACAATCAAAGAGCATTTTGCTTCAATTCCACTAACAATGGAATTGAACCAAACTTGGCACACAGAACTCCCATAACTAACAGAAAACATTGGAAGGGTTTGGTGGGCATTTACCTTGAGTTTGAGAGTTGTAGTTCAACTACATCCAGAGAACACTGTGGATTCAAACAATGATGGATCTGGATCAAACTTGGCACAAATTCTCAATATGCCCAAATGTGAACACTGGTGGAGTTGGGAGAAAATAGATCTAGAATCATAGAATCAAAGAGTTGGAAGAGACCTCATCGGCCATCCAGTTCAATCCCCTGCCAAGAAGCAGGAATATTGCATTCAAATCACCCCTGACAGATGGCCATCCAGCCTCTGTTTAAAAGCTTCCAAAGAAGGAGCCTCCACCGCACTCCGGGGCAGAGAGTTCCACTGCTGAACGGCTCTCACAGTCAGGAAGTTCTTCCTCATGTTCAGATGGAATCTCCTCTCTTGTCATTTGGGAATTGTAGTTGCTGGGATTTATAGTTCAGCTACAATCAAAGAGCATTTTGAACTCCACCAACAATGGAATTGCACCAAATTTCCCACACAGAATCCACATGACCAACAGAAAATACTGTGTTTTCTGTTGGTCTTTGGCAACCCCTTTAACACCCCCTTGCGACCCTCCCAGGGGTCCTGACCCCCAGGATGAGAAACGCTGATCTAAGTACAGGTAAAGGTTTTCCCTGACATTAAGTTTAGTTGAGTCCAACTCTGGGGGGTGGTCCTCTTCTCCATTTCTAAGCCCAAGAGCTGGAAAGGTTTGGTGGACATTTACCATGAGATTTGGAGTTGTAGTTCACCTACATCTAAAGAGCACTGTAGAATCAAACAATGATGGATCTGGACCCAACTTGGCATGAATACTCAATATGCCCCAATTTGAAGTTTAGTGAAAATAGACCTTGACATTTAGAATTCTAGTTGCTGGGATTTATAGTTCACCTACAATCAAAGAGCATTCTGAACCACACCAATGATAGCATTGGGCCAAACCTCCCACACAGAACACCATAACTAAAACTGCAGTGTCAAATGAAAAACAACACTGAGGAGGGAGGTAGGGCTGGAAAAATGATTGAAAATATCACTTTAATAAAGCCAACAACCTGATGGAGTTAAAAAAAAATTCCAAATAGGTGCTTGTTTGCCAGGAAGGAGCCATTACGTTGTTCCACATGAAGTACCATATGATATTGGAGCAGCTATCCAAAGGTCCCTTTTCTAAAATTACTTGTTTAAAAGTAATAAGTTATGGTTACAGTCGTTGCTGCAGATCTTGAAAGTAACAAAAATAGAATTTAATTTGATATTCATCCCATTTTCTCCTCCAAAAAGGCAGACTAGGATTGCAGCTACATTGTAAAACGAATGCAGTCGGATACTTTTGCTACCGAGGTTCAATGCTATGGAATCCTGGCATCTGTAGTTTGGCGAGGCACCAACACTCATTGGCAAAAAATGCAATTTCCACTGATTCCTGGCGTATCAAGCACACTCATTTTGCAGTGTAGGTGCTTCCTATATTTAAACCAAGGAGGCAACTCTGTAAATACAGAGGAATATGAGCTTCTCTTTGTGATCCTTATTTATCTTTCTGGAATAGAGACTAATGTGATTTTGCATCGAAGTCTCCAGAGTTTGCTTCAATCAGAATATTGGAGTCAATGATGAGTCACAGCAGACGTTTTGCATGAACCATCTTCCGACTCAAAAACAAAACAAGAACAAAACCTTAGCCTTAGCACTGCCCGAATCTCTCCTTTTCAAGTTGCTTGGGACTTGAAGTACTTTGGATTTCATATTTTGGGGGATTTTAGAATATTTGCCCATAAGTATGTAGTGACATGGGGCTGCAGTGGCGCAGTGGATTAAACCGCTGAGCTGTGAAACTTGCTGACCAAAAGGTTGGCGGTTTGAATCCACGCAGCGGATTAACTAACTATATTTCTTCATGGTTTTTATTCACTTATTTCATATCAAAAGCATTGCATAAATTAGTATAAAGCTGATAAAAATAGAAGGTGGCTGAATATCTTTTGACTAAAAACAGGCAACAGCAACAGCATTGTCTGTAACCTCCAACAATTCTTCCTCTGTACATGAGGCAGGGCATAGTGGACATGCATACAGATGCAGAGTTGTCTGTTCTGCTCCACAGTCACACAAGGTGTGGGATTCTTTTAGGTAGTGCCATTTTGCCAGGTTGTCTTTTGATCTGCCCACTCCACTTCTGAGTCTGTTCAGGGACTTCCAAGTTGCCCATTCTTGGTTTGCCCCTGGAGAAAGACCCTCCCTCGTGGGGGCCATCCAGTTGGGATTTCCTGGTTGAGCTGCCCAGAGGGATACCCTTGCTGTTTCTGGGGGGACGCCAAGAGGAGTGGCAGTTCTCATAAAGCATTTCCTTGATTGGAGTCTACTGGGAGTCTACTGGGAGGGGGTGGTAGCCATGCCGTGGGTGGCTTTCACAGGGTTCAACCTTATTTCTCTCACATTTAGCAGCAATTTCCCATCCCACGTCGGGGTGGGGGGGGGGCAGTGCCAGCTAGCTTGTAGAGTTTATCAACAGGTATAGGTTTAAGACATCCTGTGATTATTCTGCATGTTTCATTCAATTCTATGTTCCCCTGGTTTGCATGGAGTCGTAGTTCTCATAAAGCTTTTCCTTGATTGGAGTCTACTGGGAGGGGGCTGGTAGCCATGAAGTGGGTGGCTTCCACAGTGTTCAACCTTATTTCTCTCACATTTAGCAGCAATTTCCTGTCTCACATCGGGGGCGGGAGCAATGCCAGCTAGCTTGTAGACTTTATCAACAGGTGTAGGTTTAAGACATCCTGTGACTATTCTGCATGTTTCATTCAATGCTATGTTCACCTGCTTTGCATGGGCAGGCCTATGCCAAACAGGGCAGGCATACTCGGCAGTTGAGTAAGACAAGGCTAGGGCTGATGTTGTTATTAATTTTGGGTCTGCACCCCATGTGTTGCCAGCAAGTTTCCGCAGGATGTTATTTTGTGCTTGGTGTTCAAGCAGTGTTTTTCTTCATGGTAAAGAACTGGGTCTGAACTACTCTAACACCCATGTTTTCTAAGGTTTCAAAGAGAGGAGAAAGCTCAGTCCATCCATCTCTCCTGACACACAAGCAGAGAGAGATCTCAAAGCACACAGCACATACTCTCCATACTAAAGAGCAAGAAGGCAGAAGTCAGATTCAAAAAGCTTGCAGTAAGAAAGTATCCATTGTAAACAACCAATCAGAATGAAAGCAGAAAGAGAGAAGATGCCATACACTGAGAAACAAGTAGGAGAAGTAGAAAGACACTGATCACGGGATCTCCATCTTGGACTATTTTGTTCTTGCATGTGAAGATAAATAGCTTCTCTATTTTTATCCCTACTGTGTGTGAATGTGGGGGGAGAATACTTGCACAACATTCATCATCATCCTTGCCTAGAACTTGCACATTTTGACTTATTCCAGGGAATAATACTGTGAAGAAATGTAGGACTTATGAGTGGAGCCCCCAGTGGTGCAGTTGGTTAAACCGCTGAGCTGCTGAACTTGCTGACCAAAAGGTCACCATCACCACTTCAGATCCGTGGAGCGGTGTGAGCTCCAACTGTTAGCCCCAGCTTCTGCCAACATAGCAGTTCAAAAACATGTAAATGTGAGTAGATCAAAAGGTATTGCTTTGGCGGAAAGGTAAAGGTGCTACATACATGACCTGGGAGGTGTCTACGGACAATGCTGGCTCTTTGGCTTAGAAATTGAGATGAGCACCAACCCCCAGAGTTGGACACGACTGGACTTAATATCAGGGGAAAACTTTTATCTTTACCTATGAGTATTGGAATATTGTGTCCAATTCTGGGCACCACAATTCAAGAGAGATATTGACAAGCTGGAATGTGTCCAGAGGAGGGCGACTAAAATGATCAAGGCTCTGGAGAACAAGCCCTATGAGGAGTGGCTTAAGGAGCTGGGCATGTTTAGCCTGAAGAAGAGAAGGCTGAGAGGAGATATGATAGCCATGTATAAATATGTGAGAGGAAGCCACAGGGAGGAGGGAGCAAGCTTGTTTTCTGCTTCCTTGGAGACTAGGACGCGGAACAATGGCTTCAGACTACAAGAGAGGAGATTCCATCTGAACATTAGGAAGAACTTCCTGACTGTGAGAGCCGTTCAGCAGTGGAACTCTCTGCCCCGGAGTGTGGTGGAGGC